CACCACCGGATAAGACGTACCACCTGAGCGGATAAACCACGCAATAAGCTTAATACAGCTAAAGCATAAGGCACGCCAAATCCTAAGAGGCTAAACTAAAAAGCTTCAGAGCACGGGAATGACCAAAGTCCATCATAACTAGCCCTGTATCCGTCTCACACAACAAGAAATACGTGCCACCTCCCATAGCCACCATAAAAGTGTACGCATGGCGCCCAGGGCGACCTGTATAGCAGCGCCTTAACTTTTCGATCAAAGGGACACGTGCCCTAAACCTCTACTGTCATTTTTATTGGGGGTATCACTGTCATAACAGCGCCCATGAAATCACGTTGGAATTGAGAAGTTTCAGAGAATTTGGGACTATGACCTCATGCCATCCCCGCGTTTCCACGCTCTTAGCTGCACTTCATGTTCACCGAGGCCAGGGGGAGGGGGGGGGGGGGGAGGAGCTATAATCTTTAGATTCTACCCGAGTCGCACCAGAACTCTATGTTTTCCTCTGCCATGACTGCAATTGTGACCACTGTTCGCTGTGTGATGCACAAAGAGCGCCGTCTGCCATCATTTGGAGGCCACGATTTAAGTACCGTTAAATGGAGCCATGGCGTTGCTATGCTGGCATCACGTCGATCTCACGCTGGATGTACTGAAGCTGAGCCTCAAACATCCGCAACCCCAAACATAGCCTACCTTTTTTCTGCAGCGGGTATTACGCAGCAAGTCACCTCACGTCATTACATGATCTTTGGTTATAAACCACATGTTTATCACATGACTTTGAACCTGGTGGCACTGCACTTGAAATCTGCGTTCATGCGAATCACTGTACAAACCACAGTTTTATCTGGTGCAATGTGGAAGTCTATTTCCCACCGACATCAATATGTTTGTTCGGATCTTACCAGTGTAATCCTGATTTTGAGGGACATTGAAAACATCAAGAGTACCGATGGACGACGCCCGATATCCAGCCGGACACTTTGGGAACCACTAAGTGTGATGCGCGCAGTGCTAGGAATGTGTCACCGCACGACGATTTCCCGCATTTTCTTTTGCATCTTTGGAATTTGAAATCATTTTTACGTAACCTCTTAATGTCGACTGCGAAAACCTCTAAGGAAAGAGAAGAATTCAAACAGAACGAAACAAGGTCAACGAAAAGCCAGACTTTGCAAAGGTCGGGTACATTGATGGGGTACGTTGGCAAAAAAGCAAAACAACACAAAAAGCGTGTAGATATATTTTGGCCACGAGGCTAAAAATGGGTTGGGCTGCTCGCTTCCGTAGCTCAGCTGATTAGAGCGCATATCTCCCACCCTGCACGCGGCGGGGTGGGTGAGTTCGAGCCGCTTCGTCGCTTGCTCCTGACTAGGATGGCCTACAGCCGCCTGCAACGGTTATGCAGGTTTAGATGAGGTCAGATAAGGTGGCGGATGAGCATTGCGACACGTTAAACAATGTGATGAACGTTAAGCTTTCGCCACCAAACTGTGCCTCAGAATTTGAATCTCAAGAACGGATGGTGGGGCCAGGGCTCACACAAGCACTGCCTAGCACTACACTACAGGGCGTGGTGTCGTTAGGTTGAACAACGTAGGAGATCTCTGGACCGAGACAGCACGTGTGATGCCCACATCTTTTCTCAGAGTGGAGATACGCGGTGGATTATATTCCAGCACATAAGGCCGATACAACATTATTTACCGTGCTAATTTGGCAGCAAGCGGTCCTAGGGCTCACGTCTGTGACATGGAACATGCGTGCGGCTCTCTTGTAAATGCACATTACAGGGTGGACGCATTCTCAGTGATAACTCATTCATTTTCATGCGATTTTTCCCCTGAGGGCATTACCACATAAAAATGTATGCATTCACCATGCCGGCAAAAAACGGTTTGGCCAAACCCGATATTCAGGTCCCGCGTCCAGAAATGTGAACAATATTTGGTGGCATCGCTTCAGCACCGTACCAAGACAGTCAGTGACTCAGCCTAAACTCTGAAGCTATTGGAACGGCGTCTTCCGAACTGGTGCAAGAAGTATTACATTCAGATGGGTTTGACTGACCACTATGATGCAACAACGCAAACGGGGAACATAGGTACAAATACCAGCGCCTCTGCATCCGACCACCCCATAACCAGCAGTGAAGAGACTACACAAGCCTCGTATCCGTTGATTTACGGGCCTCCTTACTCCCACAAGAGACTCAATGACTCGGATGATGTGCTAGATGCCGCCCATATGACGGGACAGATGGTCGAAGTCAGGGAGAGCGACACGCTGGGCATCGTGATGGTCGTGGTCATAGTTGTTGGCATCGTGCTGGTGTTCATCGCGTGGAGGAAGGCTGGTGAAGCTTTGGGTGACGAGTATGCTGACCTGCTGGCTGGGGAGCATGCTCAAGAAGATGGTGCAGAGCAGTCGCCGGTAGCGACTGGTGGTGCCGATCATGCTGGAGACGCCGCAGCTGACACGCCGGCACCCGAAACCTTGACGTCCGGCAAGACAGATGGCACAGGAGCACCGGACAGCTCTCATCATCCATTGGGTGGCGCTCAGGATCAGTTGGACGGTACTCAGACTCAAGCGTCAGCCACGAACAGTGTTACTTTCAGTCCATCGCAGTCAGTCAAGATCAAAGGCAGCCGTTTGTAACAGGTGCCTGGCAGCGCCGAACGACATATGGGAAGCACCTGTCTCCTGGATTGACAGACTGGTCAATCAGAGACGTGACATTTGTCACAAAAGGTGCCATGTGGCCAGAGAAGCAGAGCCAGCCCAATAGCTCCGATTGCATCGATTTGGTGGTTCGGGACATAGCTTGGGGGGATGTCCACCACGAGTGTCGTTTCGTGGTTGTTATAATTACTTTGACAGAGTGACCATGTTTTGATAAAAACAGCATATTTATAAATGTAATTAAGCCCATTACAGCTCCATGCCGACCGATGATTTTCTGCGCTGCTGCGTTTCCAGGCCAATTCAAAGTGGTGCACAAAAGCCAGCACTGAGGTTTGTAAGGAACGCAATGACTGGTTGGATTTAGGATCGAGGGTCCGATGTGGACGTGCGTGTTCGAATCCCCGTTGACGCTATGGTTTTCGGGCGATAACATGACCGCCGTGGTACGTTTCACTCCACAAAAGGTTGCGCGACAGCTTGCGTTGCGTTTGTTTAAGCACAATGCAAGGCGTGTGGTGCAGTGATTGGTCCAGCTGTCGGTAACGCCAGAATCGTGATAGATCTTTATTCATAGCTGTCCATACTTTTCACTCGGCCTCAACGTCCGCATCCAGTATAGAAGGCCTCGGGTCTTGTGGTCACCATAGCATTACCAACCGGTAGCACTAAAGCTGAGTAGGCGTCCTGCAAGCCACGTCTCACTATATACGACCGGCTATCTGTATGCAGACGCTGTGTAAGTATCAGGTGCGGTTCGATGTTTAAAGAGCTCGAAACCTGTCTCCACCGAGGCGATTGTCATGCCGTCGGTGATTTATTGTATGCCAATACTGACAAACACGCTACCGCGACGAGACAATTCGTGAAAGCGGTGCTGCCGGAGTCAGATCCCCGTGCACAAGGCTCCTTGCAACAAACACCCTGCATCCCTACGCCCGTAGATGAATAGTGCTACTCTCGCTACGTCAATGCAGGTATCCGGAGGGGGGCACTGTGTGCACCAGCTCGACGACTTCCGGACATCATCTGGCGCCAAGCCAGAGCCACACCGCGTGGTACCGGCTGAACCGGTAAACCTACACGGCTTCGGGTGAGCCGATCAAATAAGCCGAAAGTTCCTTAACCAATGACAGCACAGTGTTATCTTAGTAGTATGCTCGCGTGGTTTTCGAAAACATTGCAGATAAGAGCACTAAAGGGGAAGCTGATAGTATGAGCGACGTTCTCATCCCTTTCGAAGTGCTCGAGCTCCTTCCAAACCCAACTTTCATCAACTTACTCACACCTTAAAGTCGTCTGCACGGTGTAGCACCTTCAGAAAGGCCAAGAACTGACCAGCTCGCATATATTGTTCGCACAAAGTGTAAGGATGGTCATCACACAAATGCCTGTCAGACCTAGTGCTGAGAGGAGATCATCCGACTCGGAGCTTACATCGCTAGTGGTGGGCGTGGACTGGTTACCCATGCTTCGCTTGGTACAGCAGAACACTTGCTGCCGGTCCAGTCCAACGGTACGGTAGTGTCTCCTCTGGCATGGCTTGGCATGACGCCAGGTGGCTGCTCCTGCGACGGCTGCGGGCTCCTTTACGAACGGTGCAGCACACCAAATCGAACCGGCCATACCCGTCGAATGATCGAAATGTGTCGGTGACGTCAACTCATATTTGAAAAATTGTCGACTAAGAGACGTAATTTGTCTACAACAGATAATCAGCATGAATCGTTGATGAACAGCCTTTCGTTGGAGAAACCGAACCGACAGCTGGCTAAAGCTCAGCCTTACCGCGATACGATGTGTGTAATGATAGATGTCAGCCGATTTCTGGTTGCCTATTTCTGAAAATCTTGGATCTAGACAGTTAAATAGGACGAAGATGCGCGTGCGCTGTGCACCAATAACCGACACGGACTTTGTAAATTTATCTCAAGTGTGAAGTGTACAGGGTGCTCAATGATATTCATGGCGGTTGAAATATATGAAATGACAGAAATAACGTGACAATAATAGTGCTGGAAGGCAGACACTAGCTGTTGAAAAAAGCCTAATGCTATCCAAACCCGAACGGTATAGTTTCTCCGGAAGCAGACGGAAGCCTGGGTCACCATTCGCTAATGTCGCAGTTTTACCAGCAGTTGACACATGCCTCCATCACTGAAGCAGTCAGAGGGTCGAGATAGCGCACGGATGGGCCGCCGTAATCGGACGAACGCCATCATAGACCGTCCGAGCCCTGTCCAAAGGTCAGAGTTCAACACCCGAGCCGGCGCGACCGGTGAGGCGGTGCCTTTTGTGGGCGAGGTACACAACAGCGCTGACTCTGGCCGCCGTGGGTCACCCGGTGCTGTCACGTGGCCGCCGTGTCGTGCAAAACATAGCAGCAAAAAACGGCGGCCATGAGCTCTATGCTTCGTCAAGTGGTTTCCCGAGCAAAAAGTGGGACATTGTTACGAGCCGGTGAAGGCACCCTTGCGCATCGCATACGAAACCGGTAAGCTGTTCAAACATTTATCCTCACGTTATGGAGCCAAGATCAAGATATTAGTGAGTCTGTTGTCAGATGCAAGCGGCATTTTCTTGGCAAAATTTAAACATTATAGTTTAACGGAAACGGCATGCGCAGAATGAAGTGAGCTTCATCTACGTCATATATCCCTGCTTTTTACGAGTCAGTCGCCACAGAATTTTCGTTACCGATTTACCAGCAAATTTTCGTATAACTTTTTTTCACAAACCCGTTGGTCCATGCTATGCATTTGCATGTCGCTGTACACCTCAAGTAATTTTACCTTAACGCCAAATCCGTGAGCACTGGATAGAGGTGGGGTCTGGTGGTGCACAAGCTGAAGTACGCTTTATTATTTTTATAGAACTAGATATTTTAAAAAAGAGCACAATTAAAGCGGAAAGCGTTACTTGCATTCCAACTGATAACAATGCTTGTATTCTCCCCTTGCAAATGTCTGAGGTCTGCCGAGGATGTGTAACATGCCAAGTAAGCGGGGGGGGGGGGCATGTTGAGTACGGGTTGCACAAATGTTTAACTCATAATGGCTCAACGGCGGATACAGCATGCAGCCATGGGGGCCAACCTCGGCTTGGAGGGGATACATTCCCAACGATGTCCTGATTTTCAAAACCCATTGGATTTTGCATTCTTTTACCTCAAGTAGCGTTGTAAGGTTCTTTTAGTTAAGGTTGCTTAGAGTTTCCTCAAGACCCAGAAATATCATTTTCTCCAACTTTGGCTGCATCGGGGAGATGGGGGGAGGGGAGGAGGGCATGGCCTGTTGCGCCCTCCCCTTTGGATAAACAATCGAAACAGCTGCAGGTTTTCCCTCACCCTTGGCATCATGCCACGTAATACCCTGTGACGTGCTGAATCAGCCTTTGCACATTTGACTTTGATGGGATATTACCACTTTGTTATCAATTAAGAGTCCTGTCGAGCTTGCTCAGCTGAAATTCCAAGCCACCGTCCGTACCGTTCTTTCGTAAAGTCTACCTCTTTTACCTTGTTATGCACCCTAGTAATACCCGTACATTTATCATCTGGTGCCTGGCTAGCTCTGCCAACACTGTTAAACATAATACCACGCAAACGAACACAGTGCTATTTGAACACAAAAACCATCATCAGCACTCTGCTTGCAATCCTCTGCATTAGGAGCCATGCACATATCTATACCTAATAAGACAGACCTCTACTGTCTTCTTTCGGCATCGTATTTCCTGTAACAGAGTTATGTTTCTCGGCAGGAAATATCTCCAGAATTGTATAAACCGCCAAATGTCGAAATATATGAAATCTCTAGAACTCTCAAAAGTCTCTAGGGCGAAAAAACCAGAGGACATCTAAACCTACTGGGAAAGAGCTCTCTCACCACATGCCATCTGTTCCAGCCAGTTGCATCAGATAGTTCTGGAATCGCAAGGCAATCACTACTTTTTGATTGGCTTAGCCGACCATCGAACGACGCCGTTTCTCATTGGTTAACTATCACGTCATTTCTTAACCCTACGACCATAAATCATTTCCGGCACGCGCAGTATATAGGCCGCACCATTAGTGACCGTGTATGCATTCGTTCTCTCCGGGCTCGAAGACGTGAGACCGCTGCTGGTTGTGTAGGTGGACGTTGTGGTGTGAGTGTTGGTGTGTGTAGGTGACCTTAAAATAGAAACTGTTTGACAACATCGCTCTTTGTTGGACCAGCGAAAAAAAAACTAGAAGAAGCGTGTTCTCCGCTCGTATTAACTATCACGCAAACAGCCAGAAATCTGCTGCATTTCTACGCCAAAAGTAATCGATTTCCTTCTTGTCGTAAGATGATGTCCGTAAGGTTGACGATTTACTCAGCGATGCATTCAATGACGTTTTCCGATTTCTCTAAAAACACGTCAGACGGTCAATTACGGCGCACAAATATCAAAGATGACGTTTATTTTGCAATATCATGTGACCTTCAAGGTCAAAAGCAAGGCCAAAGGACTAAGAACTCCATATCTTCAAAAAAGTGCCGGCAGAGTAGACCTTTTCAAACATCGGCATATTCACCAGCGCATGCACTAGCGTCCATCGAAAACTCAAGACCCCTCAAAGTTCACCTTTCAAGGTGATGTTTTGTCTCAAAGGACGGGGAACTCCATATCACCAAAAACTTACGGTCCCTTTTCGACTTTTCAAACATCAGAACATTCACCAGAGCTAGAGCTAGCACTCACGAAGAAGTCATGTACTCTCAAGGTCATCCTTCGAGGTGAAATGTAAGTTTATCTCTGGATATCCTCCTCCTTAACGTTATGTGGTGGTGTTTAAGGCTGTTCGGTTGAGTTTGACCTTTCTCGGTAAAAAGTTTCTTTAAACACTTGCCTATGACCGTGAGTACCAGCACGGTCGGTGAGCACGGCATCGCACAAGAAACCACGCCTCGACCTCGCAAAGTGACCTTTCACGTGATTTTGAAGGCGCTGGTAAGCCGTTCGGTCGGTTTCGCCCCGAGATTCGTGCCATACCCGGCACGCGTCATCGTGGTGCCGCATCAGCCGTTGCAGGTTGGGGCTGTCCTCAAGCCATGGACAACGGGAACGAGGACGAGGAGATACGGTCTTAAGGTGCCAATGGCCGTCGACCACCCGCGCACGAACTCAGGATCGGCACAAAAGATACCACATGGGTATCTTTCCATATGGTATGTCTTTTATTATCTTCGGGTCTTTGGGTCGAATATTCTGTTCGGTATGGGCACCCATATGAAATCGAAATGTTCGGTTGGGTATATGTTTGCCATAATTAGGATATGGGTACGGTTTTGGATAAGGCGCTAACAAGATATCGAATACATACTTACCATACGGTGGATATAAGAAACACTACACATTGCTACCTTTTGCTTTAGTCTGGTTGTAATCTGCTCCAATTGCAATGTTCTTGCGATTATCAACGCAGGGTAGCAAGTTTGGGTGTAAACTATCCCTGCAACTTTTCATGTGATTTAGAACCAAAGTGCTGGTGCAAAGTGCCTAACCAAATCAAACCAAACTACAAGCAGATGGGTAATGGGTATATACATCTAAAGAAATGGGTAGCGGCTGGGTATGGTGTGTGCACGGCCCTATGGGTAGCAGGAAGATTGGCCAAAGGAAATCGTACCCGTGAAGACTTTCAGTGGGGATCACAGGATCAGTTTTTGTTGAGCTTAATGCAGTTAAAGTCCCTAGCAAACAAGACACAACGATAAGCAGCAGCCGAGGCTCATAGCCGTAAACGTAAAAGGAGGTCTCAGGCTGTCAGCTCCGTCAGTCTCGCAGCAGACAGTTTGTTTTTTTCGGCACGGAAAGAAGGGCACGTGGGCTGTCCACTTCCTGTGGCAGCTTGGCAATTTACCCTATTAGGTGTGCCGATCTTTAAAAGGGGTTTTCCTCTCCCAGTTTTTGAATGCTCCCACACCCGTATTAATGAATTTGCGAAGCCCATTCTGTCGCCCAAAAGTGAAACCCCATATGTTAGTTTCTGGCCATTTTGCGTTTTTTTATGTCATTTCGTTCGTCTTCTCATGCTGAATTCAGGTCGTTAAACCAAAACTTTAAATTTACACATTGTTTTAGTTGAAAGAATGGGGTAAAAGCCTGTGAAAATTTGAAATAATGGTTTTAGTCACCAAATTCAGCATGAATGGACGAATCAGACGACACAACAAAACGCAAAACGGCCAAAAATTAACATATGGGGTTTTACCATTGGACGGCAGCATTAGCAAAACATGTTTACACTGCCACACATATTCTTATTTTCTGTTCGTGCTCTGCGCGTGCTTTGAATTCTATTGAACTAGTCGAGAGCGGATCAAAAACGTTGGAAATGTTTCGACTGCAGTCACGTGTCAAGGCAAGGCACGGTGATGCGCCGTTGAGTTACTGACTGGGCTGAGAGCCGGCCCGGAGGCGCGGACCTCCCACATGCTGTGCGTTACGACCGTCCTGCACTTTACGACCCTCTGTGACCGGTGCGTACCGGCAGGCTGGCATCCGGCTGGAGCTATGTGTCGTGCCCGGGCAACGAACCACTACGGGACTTGACCGTCGGCGACACCGTCGACCGGGCCGCCGAGGGCTTCGGTCACCGGGAAGCCCTCGTCTCCTGCTTCGAAGGCATACGTAAAACGTATGGGGAGGTCAAGGAAGAGGTACGCACTTCCGAAACGGCGGCTCATGGTATGGGGCGCGGCAAGGGCAGTGTGCTACGATACTCACCGGGGCAGCTGTTTGCGAACGTGGTGCTGACACAGCTTGCTGTTAGCGGAGCGACTAACAGGTGCGTAACCGAGCGATCGCCAGCATCCGTGTGTCGACAGACTGTCCAGCGCAGCTTTCTTCCAACTTTAACAAACAATGCATGCGGCAGGGATGAAGCTGAGCGTTTTTTTTGTGCAGACTGTGATTATGTTCAGCTGATGAACCGACACAACTTTCCTGTGCGGTCAGGCTGTGTTCCGGCTGGGTCAATAACCCCCCAATAGTTGTCATATCCTGCACAGACAGCTTACGTTCTGCATGGTCCGGTGACTTGCTGATGGTTATCCTGTGCGAGCGCCTGTGCGCCCAGCCTTTGCTCTGTTTCGGCCAATGTCCTTCTGCTTGGCTGCGTTCTGCGCTCCGTTTCGGCCGGTGGCCGGCTGACACTTCCATGGCGCTGGCAGGCGGACCGTCTGGCGGCCGGTCTGCTGCGCCTGGGCCTGCAGCGCGGCGACCGACTGGCCATGTGGGGGCCCAACTGCTACCACTGGTACCTCACGCAGTTTGCAGCCGCCAAAGCAGGCCTAGTGTTTGTGAGTACGATTGGCCATTTTGCGATCTTGGTAACGTCGCCCGCCGCCCCGCCCGCCTCTCCGCCCCTCGCCGCTCAGTTGGTCTGAGCGCCTGCCTCCCATCCTACTCGTGGTAGGGTCTGGGTTCGAGTCACCACTCTCTATTTCAGCCCCTGAATCGGATCGCCTGCGACCGGTGGCAACAGCTGCTGCATGGCGGAGGAGGTCATATGGCAGAGCAGACAGTATGGACGGTTAAGGCTAATTCAATTTTCGCCAAAAAAATTATGCCGCTTAACTGGGAGTTCACGGTCAGATGGTGGGAGCAAAGTTCAAACAACAAGCACCGCTTGGCATGAACCCCGGTCCTATAAATTCGTCCAGTCAAAAAGGCTTGCATGATGTTTGTGAAAATTACCTGTTGACATGCGCACGGGTGGACGGTCAATTCGGCCTTCCGGCGGTTTTTCCGAAATGATTTTTGAACGTCGCGCTAGCCACGCGAAATTTGGCATAGCTTTAGACCATAAGATAGCGGGTATTTTAGAATAAATAATTATGTGTATCTTGTAACGTTGCCGACTTAAAACACGTCAAGGTCAGGCAATGGATCCACCAAATAAATTTCTGGGAAATCATTCAATCTGATGCAACATCGAAGTGTTAGACGAAGTCCTATATCACTTAGACAGTTTCTCAGGCAACACAACAGTAGAATTCACAAATTTCATTGACCGAGGGTCAGGTATGAAGGCCAGACCAATGTCAAAAACCAGCCTGTTGTCTTATGTAGAGATATCTTATATATATATATATATAACATTTAGATTATTATATATATATATATATATATAACAGTTAGATATATCTTGTAAGGTCGCTCACCTATCGCAGGTAAAAGTCCGGCTATGGTTTCAGCGAAGGCAATTCCTAGGGAATCATTCAATCTGATGCAACAACGGGGTGTTTGACGAATCCATACATCTCTGAGATGCTTTCTGAGGCAACACAAATATTGAAAGAGCAAATTACATTGCCCTAAGGTCAGGTATGAGGGTCAGACCAAGGTCAAAGCGAACTTGTTTCATTACTGTGGGAGTTGCTGTATGGGATAGTTTCTGGTGCTCAGTTCGAATTTATTGATGGCAGGAACCGCATTATATATCTTCCATTGACTTCTTAGAGTTCAGAACATGTCATTGACCCGAGATGACCTGGGTAAACATTTGTTTGTAGGAACATACTGCCTAGCGCAATTTTTGTCGCTTCTTCAAATGCAAAACTCAAAACAGTCTCGTATTATTTGGTCACCATGACCTTCAAAAGGTCAAACAAGGTCACTGACCTTGAATGAGCTCGTGACCTTTTGCTTAGAAACAATTATCTAGGAAATAGGGGCACTTTGGAGACCAACCTGGAATTTGACTTTGTTGGACCTTACTTGACCTAAATGTCATAACCTAGGAACCTCAAACTTTGACCTAAGTGAGTTCACGTACAGATCAACACACCGTGTGAATTTAGTGTCTCTAGCTTCCTTAGTTCCCGAGATCTCAGGGGGTCAACTTGACCCGCCACCCGAGCGAAGGGTATCTAGCCGGCCATCCGGGCGCGCGTTAGAAGTCAGAATAGGTCACTGACCTTGAATGGTCCTGGTCAACATCTTATTTTTAGGAATCTTCCGCATAGCGGAATCCTTGACGCCGATTCAAAAACAAAAGTCATAGCACTATCGCATGATTTTGGCCACTATGGCCCTGTAAAGGTCAAACAAGGTCACTGACGTTACATGAGCACCAGTGAGATTTTGCGTTGGACAGGTTTGTAAGTTTATGGCGGCCGCATGAGAAGGTCTCAGGCGCTTGGGGTACTAAAAAGGAGTTCAAACTCATTTGACAAGTTTCAACCCAAAGGTCATGACCTAGGAACCTCAAATTGTGCATCAAGTGAGCTCACATGCATGCCGATATGCCCTGTGAATTTAATGTTTCTAGTTCTTTTGGCTTTTGAAATATCAGGGGACAAGCTGACCCTGCCCGAGCGAATGGTATTCAGCCGACTACCCGGGCACGTGATAAAGCTCCACCACCCATAATCTGTACTGAAAGCACAAGAAGCCCTTGTTTTTTAATGCTTGGTTAGTGACAAACATTTTTTGGACATATTTATGGGGTCGGCGCCAACGCCAAACAGCGCTTTTTGCCTGAGCCCTGGCACTACCAACCGCATGAATTCAGAAAAGTCAACGTCACAAATGTGCTGCGAAAGGTTAAACGGTTGTTCTACATTGAAATATATGGCTAGCGAGCATCATATATGATAGAAAAGCTTACTTATAACTACCGGTATACCTTAAGTGGAAAAGACTATTCTAGACAACAATATCTATATTTACTAAATATGCTCCTAAATACGTCATTGTTTGACTGCGTCATCGTACCTTGCACAACATTCATTGAATTGGCGGCGGTTATGTCCGGGAATCGTGGTCATGCACGCCAGATATGACCGACATTCATGGCCTTGATCGCCGCATGGGTTATGAAATTACAAGATTTGAATGGCTTATTATGGCGCCATGGAGTCTAATTGACCAAAAGTCGACACGAAATAGTATGCACATTTTCACGGGCGTGTAGCTCAGAAATCAGAGAGGTTGATTTCTTATGGAGGCAGGACTGTGAACTGCACTAAATGATCTTCGACGGGGTCTATTTAGTTCAAAACCCTTGGAAATGCGAAGCACTCCCCTTAATGTACCGTGATGCTCGGGACAGTCAGTTCTGCTGTCTGACCTCATCTGACCTTTTGCGCAGCCACTGCCACCGACCGCAGACCACCCCAGCCGGGGGCAGATGGCGAGCATCCAAAGCGACACGAACCCGCCTTGGATGGCGAGCATCTAAAGCGACTCGAACCCGCCTCGGATGGCAAGCATCTAAAGCGACTCGAACCCGCCTTGGATGGCGAGCATCTAAAGCGACACGAACCCGCCTTAGATGGCGAGTATCTAAAGCGATTCGAACACGCCTTAGATGGCGAGAATCTAAAGCGATTCGAACACGCTTTGGATGGCGAGCATCTAAAGCGACACGAACCCGCCTTGGATGGCGAGCATCTCAAGCGACTCGAACCCGCCTTGGGTGGCGAGCATCTAAAGCGACTCGAACCTGCCTTGGATGGCGAGCATCTAAAGCGATTCGAACCCGCCTTGGATGGCGAGCATCTAAAGCGATTCGAGCACGCCTTGGATGGCGAGCATCTAAAGCGACACGAACCCGCCTTAGATGGCGAGTATCTAAAACGATTCGAACACGCCTTAGATGGCGAGTATCTAAAGCGATTCGAACACGCCTTGGATGGCGAGCATCTAAAGCGACTCGAACCCGCCTTAGATGGCGAGCATCTAAAGCGACACGAACCCGCCTTAGATGGCGAGTATCTAAAGCGATTCGAACACGCCTTAGATGGCGAGTATCTAAAGCGATTCGAACACGCCTTGGATGACGAGCATCTAAAGCGACTCGAACCCGCCTTGGATGGCGAGTATCTAAAACGACACGAACCCGCCTTGGATGGCGGGCGGCTAAAGTGACTCGAACCCGCCCATCCGTCAGTGGGCTGTGACGTCCACCGTACCGGACACCATTTTGGGTTTTCTCGGATGTTGCCCTCATTCGCACTAAAAGTTGCAGAGCCAAGAGAAACAGATTTTCAGCACATAAGCAAGCACATGGAATGGTTTGCTTGCTCACGCACCGCCGTTTCCCGCAAGTTAGGCGGCGATGGGTGCTTTATTACCGAACATCGCAACCTTCCAGAGGTAATGCAAACACAGCTTCCGTATAACTGGCCTATTCTCGCGCCTTTCAGGTGACCATAAACCCAGTGTTTAGACCAGAAGAGTTGGAGTACTGCCTCAACAAGGTGGGAGTGCGGGCGCTGGTGTGCCCTCCCGCGCTGCGCACTCAGGAGTACTATAAGTTCGTCTGCGAGGTGGCGCCGGAGCTTCCCAACTCGCCGCCAGGGTCGCTACAATCGACCACCGCGCCCGACCTGCGGCATGTCATAACGCTGGGAGACCAGCAACTGCCGTAAGGAGTCCAGTTTTATCCCACACATGATTTGGGAAAAGAGTAGCAAGAATGCCAACCGCAGCGGAATGTGTGTCGTCCTTGGCTGTGCGATTGGCTGCCTGAAAGAATGTGGGGCTTGCGAAATTGTGCCGATGTGTAATGTATTCACGGTAGAGCAGGAATGTTCTTTGTGAACTGTTGGCGGGCGCCACAAACCCAACAGACTGAACAGCCTGGCCTGTCCAATGTTAACAGCTCGACAGGCGACTTGTCGCAAGGGCGAAAGTCTTTACCTTAATGCTTACAAAAACGAAGTGCTTAACTACGCTTCTTTACAAACTATGTTATTCGCGGCGATTCCGGTAAAAACGATGCTGCTCGCCGTCCATTCGCCCCATATCAATGGGTCCCCAGTCAGAAAGTTTGGATGACGAGGCGTCGGGACAAGTGGCATCTCCGTGTTCCAGAGGCACGGTGCGACTCACAGACGTCTTGGACTCGGCCACGTCGACGGACGTCGCTGCCGTACACGATCTCGCCAAGAGGATTCAGTTCGACGAGCCGTGCAATATCCAGTTCACCTCGGTGCGTGGTCAGAGTCACTCAAGCAGATCACGGTGCTGTGCTGGACACGCAGCCCAGCGTTTCACACATATTTATTGACACAACGCGCAACTCTTGCAGCGCCACCCTGAATGAATGCTTATAACTCTTGCAGCGCCACCCTGAATGAAAACTTATAACTCCTTCAGCGCCACCCTGAATGAATACTTATAACTCTTGCAGCATCACCCTGAATGAATGCTCACAACTTCTGCAGTGCCACTATGAATGAATGCTCATGGCTCTTGCGGTGCCACCCTGAATGGATACTTATCATCCTTATTTATTTTAGTCTGGTTTCACCCAGCTGTTTGGGAGCATGGTGCAGTATCACCCCAGCAACCATACGTGCCCTGTCTTCGTTATCAAAGGTGTGACCCCACTGCCACAGGGCACCACGGGCCGTGCGAAGGCCGCCACGCTTAGCCACCACAACATCGTCAACAACAGCTACTTCGTGGGCAAGCGCTTCTGCGCGGACCAGACGTGGCACCGGGCTCTGCTCTCGGTGCCCATGTTCCACTGCTTCGGCTGCGTGGCGGCTAACCAGCTGTTCATGCAGCACGGCGGCACGATCGTCCTGGCGGCCCCCGTCTGGGACAAAACTCTCACCCTGGACACCATCGAGAGCGAGCAGTGAGTCACAGAAGGGCACTATCCAACAGGGACAGCCAGGCGCAACAGCGAGTCACAGAGTGACACCATCCAACAGGGACAGCGAGGCGCAACAGTGGGTCACAGAATGACACCATCCAACAGGGACAGCGAGGCGCAACAGTGGGTCACAGAGGGACACCATCCAACAGGGACAGCGAGGCGCAACAGTGGGTCACAGAGGGACACCATCCAACAGAGACAGCGAGGCGCAACAGTGGGTCACAGAATGACACCATCCAACAGGGACAGCGAGGCGCAACAGTGGGTCACAGAATGACACCATCCAACAGGGACAGCGAGGCGCAGCAGTGAGTCACAGAGGGACACCATCCAACAGGGACAGCCAGGCGTAGTAGTGAGTCATAGAGGGACACCATCCAACAGGGACAGCGAGGCGCAACAGTGGGTCACAGAGGGACACCATCCAACAGGGACAGCCAGGCGCAACAGTGGGTCCCAACGGAACACTATCACAAGCGGGAACAGTGAGCCACAACAGTCAGTCCCACTGCGGCTGCGTCGAGAATTTCAAAGGAAATAGCATGCAGTGGGATCGAAATCTTAGCTTCATGCCAGCGAACAGGAACAGTAAGCGATCACAGTTACAGCGTCGTGCGGAAGCAGTGAGTCTTACCGGAGAGAGTGACCGACGACCACCTGTTCACAGTGCAACGCTGATATACGGCACTCCAACCATGTTCATTGATCTGTCGTCGTGCCCCGACCTGGCCCAGCGAGATCTGCACACGCTGGAGCTGGGCGTCTCGGGAGGCGCCCCACTGCCGGTCAAAGTCATGCAAGAGGTGATGCAGCGCATCGGCATGAAGAACGCTCTGGTTAGTGGCGTGGCGAGGACCGTCATACGGCCGAGGCGCTGTCTCAGCCGGGACGGGGGGGGGGGGGGGGCGGACAGGGCAGGTGGCGAGTCTGTCGGCTCTGGGCCCGACGTCGACTGAACTGTGATCGGGATCAATTGGGCGCCACTGCCTTGGAATAAATAATGACTAGTCCGCTGCATACCGCACACGCGAAGTTTGGTGCGTAGGGTAGCACTAAGTCAAACGAATACCTTTTTCCCCTTCACTTTCACCTTTTCACTTTTGATGATGCCGCCAGCAGCTTTGGAGTCACGAGGTGAAGGCGTGTCCACTGACTCACTCCTTCCTCTGGCCGTTCTAGATGATGTACGGCATGACGGAGACCAGCCCAAACACATTCCAGTCGTTCCCCGAGGACGACCTGGAGACGCGCGTGGGCAGCATCGGCTTCCCGCAGGACCACCTGGAGGCCAAGGTGGTGGACACCGCTGGCACCGTGGTGCCGCGGGGTACGCCTGGCGAGCTAATGCTCCGTGGCTATGCTAACTTCCTCGGATACTGGGGCGACGAGGAGGCCACGCGGCAAATCTTCACCGCCGACCGGTGGCTGAAGACCGGGTAGGTGGCGCCGGCCTGACGCGCTCCAAACTGAGCCGCGGGTATGGTCTTCAAGCCGGGGGTGTGGTCGCCAAGCGGCGGTTGTGGTCTTCAGACGATGGATGTGGTCCTCAGGCTGTGGGTGTGGTCTCCAAGCCGTGGCCGTGGCCTTGGTCTTTAAGCCCCGGGTGTGATCCCCGAACCGTAAGCGTGGCCTCCGAGCTGTTGGCGTGGTCTCTGAGCCGTGGTGTGGTCTTCGAGTCGTGGACGCGTTTCCGAGCCGAGCCAGCTCGATGGGGTATCGGAAAGGCGCCTTTGGCTGACGACGGGTGTGGACACACAACACGCTTGAGGCTCTTCTGGGATAGCTGCTGGTCCGAAGGCCAAAAAAGTCGGTTGCAGAGGCGGTGTTCGACTCCGCCACCTGATTCCTGTGACTTTATGACTGCGACATTGCACGAAAAACAAGTTTCGCAAACGGGGGCACATGGAGATAGGCTTTTTTGTGACGTGGGTACCATGCAACATTTTCTAGGGATTTATAAAGCAATATCATCAACTTTGCCAGCTCCTAAGTACAGCATGCTGCTTTAGATTTCAAAACCATAGCACAGATGTTGTCATAAGATGCCATAATACCGATGATTTGCTCAGAGATCTGGCCACCATGGACGAGCGCGGCTACGGTCGCATCATAGGACGCAAGAAGGATATGGTGATTCGAGGCGGGGAGAACATCTTCCCAAAGGAAGTGGAGGATCTTCTCACCACACACCCTGCCGTGTTGGAGGCATATGTGAGCTGCCTTTCCACAGCGGACGTACTCAGTGAACACGCATTCATGCCTGCATTGCTGAGCATAATGTGCCGTAGTCTCGTTGTAATATTGCTCTGCTGCCGACAGACCCATACGCCGTGCTGTCTTACATGCTACTTAATAAACAAGCTTACAAATGTGCGGCGCAACGTATCCCATAGCCGCATAAAAACTTCTCCGTCAGGTGATGCAACAATCTACAGCCTGCCTTATCTCGTACAGGTGGACATGACAGTACTTTTGAAGCCTGCCCACCGGCCGCCGCGTCCCTGTGCGTTTCTGACTGACGGCCCACGTGCGACGGCAGGTGATCGGGGTGCCGGACGAGCGTCTGGGCGAGGAGCTGTGCGCCTTCATCCGGCTGAAGCCCGGCCAGATCGCCGACGCCGAGGATCTCAGGGCCCACTGTCAGCAGCATGTGAGCGAGCCGGCTCGGGGGCGCCCTGCAGCCACCTGCGCCCAACAGCGCCCTGCAGCCCTGCGGCAGGAGCGCGCGTGATACTTCCATAGGCCACCTGGCGAAACACTTGGATCTAGTTAATGCTGCAATATTGTGAGATGTTCTGCAGCTGCCAGGCACAATCAAATTGGGTTGCGTTGAATGAACGTGTTGGAGTCACGCAAGACACGTAGTACAGGTACAGAACGCTATTTTTTTTTGTTGGTAATTTTGTGTCAGTATTTTGTTGGCGGCCTTGCAGTGTCAGCGCCAACTGGATCTCAACGTGATGAACGGCAGCTCACAGTTAAACGTCCGGATATATTTTGTGAATGTTGTTTTTTATTCGCATATTGTCACAAGAACCATTTATTTATTTTCATCCGGCGTTTCCCATTTTCAGGTCGCGGCTTTCAAGACACCTCGGTATTGGCGTTTCCGCGACGATTTCCCCCGCACGACCACCGGAAAAGTTCAGAAATTCAAGCTTTCAGAATTTGTGTGAAAGACGCGTTCAATACCATGAACAGGATCTGTCAGTCGAAGGCTGTTTTGAGCTGCGCTTTTGCACATGTGTATGTAGCTAGATTGCACCAAATGACCTCAATCCATTCGATTTCAAGAAGTCGGTACCATCAAAAAATGGCATGCCACTTTAAATGCAGACATGCATGAAACCATGTTAAGTTGTGATTGCCATGCCCGCACGTTTTTTTATAAAACGCGTCCGTTGTGCCCCGTTTTTCTTCCTTTACACGCTAAAGGGATTAGAACTACCCATCATCATCTGTAAGTTTACTGTTCCTTAGAAAGAAGAAAATTCCGCTGGAAGAAAACAGCTTTCCAGTCAAAAATGCTAACAATTCAAATGTTACCACGCTTCCGCTTTGCCTTAAACTGTAGCGTTATTAGTGCTATGGGCATTGCCATGATTGGAAGTGCCATTAGCGCGCAGTCTCCTTTGATACAGCGCGTGTGAAGGCCAAAACTTTGCAAAATTATTACAGCAAAAATACCAGCGTCTTAGCAAAGCTAAACGTACTGAATGAGCGAGGAGGAGAATATACCGAAACGCTCTGCGCCCTCAAACTGGAAGCTGCTGTCTCGCCGTGCCCAACCCCTTTAATGCCCTGTCAAACGCAAACGAGACTACTGTGACAATGCTCTAATGCCCGCGAACTGATTGCTGTCAAATAGTCCACAGCGACTGCGGGCTTCTTGTTGCTGATGTGCTCTGCATGGAACATTCAGGAGTATCAGGCCAAATACAGGAGTATCAGGCCAAATACAGGAGTATCAGGCCAAATACATAGCCTAATTGCAAATTGCGTTTAGCCTCCCGTTTATCACGCCTGCACGGTCATGACCAAGGGCGATGATCTTTGTGGGCCGTCCGAATACATGTCGCCGCTGGCTCACGTTCTTCTCGCACCAGTCGAGGACATAATGGAAATATATTTGAATATAAATGTGTGTTGGACAACAGCACAGCATGCATTGATATTGCATTTTTAACGGAATGCAGCAGTGACCTGTATACCACTGTCACATTCGGCTTCGCTTTGTGTTATAGTTCACCGACTTGAGTTAAACGTTCCAAGTTAATGTTACGTAAAGGTCGTAGCCGCATTTTTTCGTACGGGGGTTTGCGTTTTAATGGTTAGTCCGTTTTGGCGGTTAGTACGTACTACCAGTTAAAACAATTAGTTTGGTGCTACATGTCTTCGAATGCCCACGTCGTCTTAGCCCCCTTGTCTTTAAATGTCCACATGTTTATTGCAACATACGCATCACTCATTTTAAGCTTTTTCCAAAGAATGAGCGATCCCTGATAAGCTGGATGGTGCAGTTTTCTGGGTGAAAATACATAGCAAGCAAGCTAAAACAAAAACAAGAGCAAAAACATAGCAAGCCGAACGGAAATCACCTTCTGTACTTTGTCTTCTGCCGCACACCAGCAGTGTAAATTTCGGCCGCTAGGTGTCGCTGAGCAGCGCGCCGCCGCCGCCGACATTCGCTTCGTCCCGGTGACGCGCGTCGCCGCGTGCTGTGGTCCAGTCGTGGGTATGGCCGGCCTGCGGTCGGTCTGCCGGCTGCTGGAGCGCCACCGCGACGTGCTCTGCGCCGATCTGAAGGTGGACGCCGTGGTGCCGGAGCTCGTGCGGCGGGGTGTGCTCAGCGCACGTGAGGAGAGAGCGCTGGCGGCCGGCGAGCCGGGCCGCGCCGCCGCCCGCCTCCTGCTGCGACAGCTCGGCAGGAAGGGGTTTGCTGGCTTTCAAGAGTTCTGTCACGTGCTGGAGAACCAACACCCACACCTGCTCACGTGCTTCCTCATGGACGTGGCCGGTGAGTGCGCGGCAAGAGCGGTGTGGATGCTGACGCTGCAGGGAGCGTTATAAGTCAACGTATCGGTCCTCGGGATCTGGCTACTGAACTTGGTGATTTGATGGATGATCAAGAATGAAGGTGAAGAAAATACTAACGAACGCACCCAATGGCATTTGGCTCGGGAGAAAACATCTGAAGTCAGAAATCCTCACTCAGTAGATGTGTTCCAATGCCTACGTATGGTGCATACCGGATATTGGGATCCGAACGGTCTCCGTTCCCCCAGCATAATAAAATGCCACATTTACCAGTAGCTAAACGACCAAGTGATACATACATCCCAAACAGAGAAGACGAAAATTCGAATTCTGCCATTCCATTAGCGACCAAGACTAAGAAAAGTTTAAGCGTCCAGTCGTTCATATCTGGCGTTCGAAAGCACAATTTCCAGGCATGATAACTATTAAATGGCTCACCATCAATGTTCTTACAGGGCGCCATGACATAATCAAACAATGACGTATTGATAATAGTATTTACTAAGGAGCGAAATGGTGTTGTCTAGAGCAATTTGTGCACTTAAAAGCATAGCAATAGTTATAAGTGATCTTCTTTCGTCGTATCTGAAGTTTGTTTCAGCATCTTCAGATATGGAACATTCCTTTAACGCCAGCTATAAAGGCTTCCATGTTCCATCTGCCGTACATTTTATCCGTTAGAACATGCCTCTCATGCATCACGTGTGAAATCTTCCTTGATCAGGAATTTACCACCCGCATTCACTTTCTATCTCAATGGCTGCTGAGACATTAAGAGCTCAAAGGAAAAATCCTGTCCTCTCAGCTACATACCGGAAAGGCCTTCAAGATAGCCTTACCAAGTTTTGCTTTAGTCAGGCGTCATAAGTTTCGGAGAGTAATTTGGCTGTCGTCCCTTTTGTTCGGGCATCCTGAACGCGCGGCAACTTCCAGTCCTAATCGCACCTGTTGCGGTTGAGGTGTCACCATGGCTTACGGCTACATTCCACGCACTTCTAATCCTTTGCCACCGCCGCACATGGAAGACGTTTTGTGTATTGGCCGTGTTCTCATAGACCACGTAATGCGACCTTTCTCCGATATCTTAGACACGCTCCCCCGCGTGGGTAGCGCGCAGCTCTCAGAGTTCGTGTAGATCGCATGCCACTGTCTCCAGCGTGTGGTGTAGATGCATTAATCTCCCGTTACGGTAGGGCGGTGCGAGCGGTGGGTCAAAGGTGAAGAGGCGCCGCCGGGTGCCCGGCACCCCACCGAGTCGGCACAGATCAAAGAGTGAGAGGGCAGTTTGAGTGACACCAATCCAGAAAACTCTTCACGCTTTGAGGGGAAGCCCATCGTTGAGAAGGATTCCCATCATCCCATAGAATAACAGCCCGAGTCTGAATGAAGTCTCACGTATCCGAGCGCACCAGATTCCCCACATGCCAAGCCTGATGCTGCAGAAATTATCGATAGGGCGGTGCGATTTGAGCCATGCCCGGCGTGACAGCAACGCTCTCCATAAGCCCGCTGAAACACATGGCCAAATTCCGTCGCCGAGACCGCCATAGGCCACATTCATCACATGCCGTGCGTCTGTTCTTGCTTCAGGTGCTTTGTCGCTGTCAGCGTTCCGTCTGTTCAGCAATGCCGCCGCCCGGGATTTCGCGAGACGTACGTCCGGTCACCGACCAAACCGCACGGTCGTTAGGCGCCGACCGCGCAGTCACTGCACGAGGTGGCGGGGGGGGGGGGGGGGGGGGGGGGGGAGTGGCCTCCAGTGCCCACGACCAGCCGGCTCCTGCGCGATTGGGTCAAAACGCCAGCTGGCCAGCAGCACGCGCGACCACTGGCTGTGACCGCGAATGGGGTTACCTCTGTCCGCTACTGAACACACACACACACACATATATACATATATATATATATATATATATATATATATATATATATATACATATATATGCGACTATGAGCTACAGTCCCAAACTGTCAGCTCTCTCTGGTCCCATAGATAAAGAGTGAAAGCCTTCTTTCAAGGGAGTGAGTTCTCGCCTCCCTTGAAAGTTAGTTTTGGTCTGGGGCGGAGCTAGGATTTTGTGAAGGGGGGGGGGGAGGCGCAACATTGTAGGGCCCGCATAGAGTTTAGCCCCCTCAAACTCCTCGAAGTTGGTCCATCAAATTTTAAAATTCTTAGTATACGGAAGCTTTGTTTTTTTATGTTTCTGTGCGCATCCTTAGAAAACTAGGCATGCTACGTATGCACGCACACGGAGATTATTAATTTTCTCAGGCGATAGTGAATCTTGTCATTTTGAGGCTACATTTTCAGAAAAAGCTTGGCAAAATAAGCGGAAGTGGGTTACTAAATGCCATTGAAATCAGTCACGAACTTGATTCCTGGCATATGTACAGCTGCCGGCCTGTACAAGTCATTAGCAGATGGCTGATGACTAATGCAGAGTATTTACTTCGTTTTAAAGGAGTACAAACTATCCTAGCATTAAAATGCATACAAGAGGGATCATCATGTGATGCACAAGCATAATAGGGGTCACAAATTTAATAATCAACCGAAATATCACATAAGACGTCAGCGGCACGTAAGATTATGTTCGACGATTGCGCGCAAAAAACTGTCGGCGTATATCCGACTGTTACTCTAAGGCTAAGGCGCCAGGGCCAACAGGGACGAAACCTGAGCGATCATGGGTGTCGCGGCAGGCAAACAAAGAGGCTTCCATAAACAATTATCGGGTCCTCAGAGCAATCGAGAAGAACCCGGTGCCAACATGTTGGACCCCTGAACGATCGGGTGTGCCCCGGGAGGCTGCCATAGGACCCGGCCAGAGCACAGGGCCCTCTGAGCAAAGGGAAATTACCCAGGATCAGTGTACATGAATAAATGGCGCTGCGCGATCAAGAGTGCCCAGGTAGATTAACGGAAAGGGTCGCAATGATGGTGAAGGGCCCTCCGCAAACGAGGTCAAAGGGAAACAGCCCAAGATAAATGTAGAGAGTCCCTGAACATCGAGTGGCTCAGTGCCATACATTATATTGGCTCCAGTAACATCACAAGGCCCTCCCAGCAAGTGGAAGGAATCCGAGACCATATGAAGGACCGCTGGGCAACTAAATGTATTCTGGCATATGGGGACCCGGAGAAAGCGTATAAAGCGTTTCGAATGGGAAGAGTCCGTGGAGAGAAACCTGATCGATCAAGGGTGCCCAGGCATATGAGCAGACAGTGTCCTAACAACTGCGCAGGACCGTACGAGAAAGTGCAAAGACTAAGAAGGCCCCTTAGCAATCGGATTGACCCGGCAAGTGGACAATTAGGGCCCCGGCAACAGCGTAATGCCTCTGGACAGCGCAATGAGTTTGTCTCCTTACGGGTTTCACCTCCACTTGCAATTGTTCTTGGTCGTCTGGAAGCCCAAAGACGTCCAGCTCCGTTTTGCTTTGTGTTGGAAAACTGCGTCCGTTCGCCTAGTCATGGGCCCCTTCAGAGGCTATAGGTCCCCTTGGGGCTCAAAGGGTTTGGTTCCGTGCCCCCCCCCCCCCTCTGGATGTACCATTGTCCCGAGTAATTTGATAGATAGGGCCCCGACAAGAATATAGGGTCATTCATTCAAATACTAAATACCCAGAACACAACATGGGGGGCGCAGGAATGATCGAGTGTGCTCGAGCAGGTTAACAGATGGAGGTGGGGGGGGGGGGGGGGAGGGGGGGGAGGGGGGGAGGGGGGGGGGGGCGACAATAGCATAGGACGCTCCCTTCAAATAGCAAATACCCACGACACAATGTGGAGAGCCCTAAACGATAGAGTGCGCCCGAGCAGGCCAACATATAAAAGGGCCCGACAGGAGCGTGGTACCCTCCATTCAAATAGGAAGTACTCAAGGCCTAATGTAGGTGATCCATAAAAGATAAAGTGTGCCAGAGCAACTTATGAGAAGGGGCCCCGATAAGAGCACAGAGCCCTCCATTCAAATAATAATTACCCAAGATTCAGTGTGGAGGGCCTTCGAAAGATCGAGTGCACCCGTGCAGGCCATCAGATGGTCCCTGACAGGGGGCATAGGGC